ATATATATATATATACATATATATATATATATATATATATATTATATATATACATATATACATATATATATTATATATATTATATATATATATATATATACTTGATGTCGATGTTGCTAGATCACAAATGCGTAGGATTATAGGCAGCAACTGTCTGAAGTCTTTGCTCAATATTTCACTGCGTGACTGATCAAGCTTATTTGAATAGTGTTGTGACGACAATGTCGTTGTAGGCTCTTAGTTTAATGAACGTTCATATCACAAGCGTGTTGTCGATTCCATATGTAGCGAAATCTCAAAGTCAAAATAATTAATACTGGTATACCTTCAATTCTAGACAAACTTTATTAATTCGATAATTGCTCGGTTTTAAATTCATCAGAACCACTGGGGACAGTATCTTTAAACCACCATATCAATCACAGAACATCCTCGTTTGTCTATATACAACGAATGAAAATATAGTCTCATGAAGCAGGTTGCGCAATCCATCAGCTTCATCGTGGCCCTTTTGTCTTGCATTAGAACTATCTGATATTGCGTCTCGCCTCAATGGTAGTGAAAATTACACGATCACTGCCTTCTCTCTGTTTCTAACCTACTGTGTCAAATTTCTGTTCGTTTGTTACTTTTAGGCGTTCACTATCCTGCTTCCAGTATACGGACAGGCGGTGCCTTTCCATATCACGATGGTGAAGAACATTGCGTTCACGGCTGTGACCGACATGGCTAACTGTGGAAGTCTCCGAATCAATTTCGCAACACCTGCATACGTTTTTAAGAAAGATCCAATGGAACACTTCAGGTATTTTCGTGCTGTACGTTTTGCTTGCTAGTGCACGTTATGATTGTACGAAGCGACCCGGTCCATATGTATCTCCCATTACCTTGTTTACTGGGTGTCCGACTTTCATCAGACGCAGGCTCGTATTCGAAATCCCACAGTCCGGTGTTTCAGTACGTATTTTATAGTGATGGTTATATTATATACACACCAAGTTCCTGTCAAATACTTGCTCCTACTTTCTTATTACCGGGATAGGTTGTATGGCCACCACATAGCGATGCAGCATTAAGCTGAATTATATCGTTCTCATATCCTCGGTGTGAAGCCCTCAATGACCCTTTCTACTTCCTGTCATCGGCAGCTTCGCACCCACGGAGGCTGCGTGGTTGAAAGAGTTGACCTACCGCTCCTCAGACAACACCAACCTGGAGAACATACACAAGCAAATAAAAGAGATGCAGAAGGCGCACCGGCTAAAATTGGCCGATAAGAAGGAGAAAGAAAACTTGGTGGAGCAGGACGCCCTCATTACTTGCAAGGTGTGTCGGGCGAGTACGATTGAAATGCGAAGCTGTGTATGTGGAACGGATGTTTGCAAGTGTATGCCCATGCAGTCAGGCTTAGTAGATCCGTGGTGTTTTGTTCGCTCGCGGCCATCTACCAGAAGCAGCTGGCTTGTCCATTCTTTCATAGGTTTAATCGGACGGTTAGTGCAAGTTCGAGCTGCGTGGTGTATGATCCTGAAATAATTCGCCGCACGGCACTCCATCCCCTTCCCATGCTATCCCTCTGCTCAGTTAAATTTGTCGTCCTCTATCTTCCGCTCGATAATGTGTGGCGTCTTTAAATGCTATTGCGATCTACATTAGAACCGTGTACATATGTGAGGAAGGTTGTATTGCACCCTGACTATAAACATTCATTTGCATGACGTTTAATATTCGTCTGTGAATGTATTCATACACAACAGGGGAAGCCCTTGGCCCGTCTCACAGATCTGCTGGTACGACCAGCGTTCTCTAAGAAAAGAGCCACAGGAATGTTGGAGGCGCACGAGAATGGTTTCCGCTACACCGTTTCTGGTGGCATGCGGTATGTAGTTATTTATATCCCAGCTATTTATATCCCTGGGATACAAACTACCTTTCGTTGTTGCTAACATTATTTTGCGAGTGTAAGCGTGTATTGATACTTTTTTTGAGACCTTGTGTGAACGTAAAACTTTACGCGAATGGCCAGCCAATTAGCAAGGTTTATAATTCAGGTGACACCTCGACGGTGGGTTTCAATCCATTGTACACACTGACCGATATATGTTGTATACGAATGCATGCTGCTTAATTGGTCACTCAGACTGGATTCCATACTAACAATACGTGTACCACGTTTATGCATTTGCTGTCACAGATTGGACATCTTGTACGACAATATCCGACACGCGTTCTTCCAACCGTGCAAACACGAGCTGATTGTATTGTTGCACTTCCATCTGAAGAATCCAATTATGGGGCCATACGCGAAGAAGCAGAAAGACATCCAGGTATGCAGACTTCTCAAAAGTATGCCCGTGCTCTGTGTGGGTGTGTCTAAGGTAACTCGGACATAAAAGTATTGTGTCGTAGATATCCGAGCCACATCAGAAAACTGAGCATACATACGCGCACACTCATCCGGCGATAAATGAATGGTGGCGAGAGAAACCAAGCCGAATAAATTAGAGGCTGGTATATTCTCCGTAGCTGATTGTGTCGGGTCTCTGACAGGCACACACAAAAAGGCAGACAAGCCATTGTTACTATCCTTCTCACACGCTATGCAGCAAGCTCACGTCACCTGCACACATACTGCCCTCTCCCGACCTTCAATTATCTGCATCATTGCAAACCTTATGTAATGAATCCCTGCAAACTTACACACATCCGTGCTCGTCTCTAATCGTGAGTATTTGTTCACTCCACAGCTCTTCGCCGAAGTAGTTGATGCGCATATCGACCTGGGCAACAGAGCTAGCAACTACGGAGACAGGGACGAGATTGAGGCTGAACATCGCGAGCGGCAAATGAGGAAAAAGCTTGATCAAGCGTTCTATAATTTCACTCAGAAGGTTCCGGAGGTCAAGTATGTTAGCGAGTGTTTTTCCAAGAAGGAAGGCACCGTTGTGTGGCAAAGTATTGGCACGAGGTGCAAAAAGACTTAATTTTGAAAGACTCTTATACATAGGAGCAATGTAGTTCTAGTTCGAATTCGTATATGCATGTTGGTTTGCGATTTTAATATAGATTGGTGTGAATCTCATTATTACTCGTGTTCAAATCTAGGTTAGAAGTGTTAGGTCCCTGACTAGTCTTGTCAATTTCATTATATACCAGTGAATAGCAAGCCGAGACACATCTCAGCCACACATCGACAGTACAACGGCACGTCATTGACGAGAACTTCACCCACTGCACACACTTATTTGGATCATGGCAAGATACTGTAAAGCAACGTAAGGTTACATATCACACGACTGTGTGATACATGCTTGCAGGCTACCTTTAACCACCACTCCTTTCCCTGTATACACAGATTCGAAATGCCGGAGCGAAAGCTCGGATTCAACGGTGTGCCAGGCCGGTCCAATGTGTTCATGATGCCCTGTTCCTCGGCGTTGGTGTCACTCGTTGAGCAGCCACCGTTTGTGTTCCCCCTTGAAGATGTCGAGCTGGTACATCTGGAGCGAGTCGCGTTCGGAAATAAGAACTTCGATATGGTGTTTGTCTTCAAGGACTACAAGAAACTGCCCGTGCGCGTGTCCACTATTCCATCGCAGGTGTGTGGTTGAGTGTATCTGGTGTGCAGGGAGAAGAAAGAAAACAAATAGGCGAGAGAATGGGGGTGGGGTGGGGGGGTGGGGTTATGGTACACTGTGTTCTGCACTGTGGAGTGGATATGGGCAGGCGTGCAAGACATCGAAGGTGCAGAAGCTGTAACCTATTTCTATATTGCAACTAGTACAAGCATATTACTATCGTACGGCTGTTCCATGCATAAACATAAATTGTGGTACCTACTGTTACAAAAATGTGCAGCTTCTATCCTATCGTATGCGGCGCGCACCCACATACAGTCGCAGACCTCTTACCAACTATCAAATCTAGGAGGATTCGTATTCACTCACATTTTCCACCACATCGTCAGAATTTGGATGATATCCAACGATGGTTGCACGAAACGGGCATGAAGTTCTCTGAAGGGCCCCGTCCGTTGAACTGGGCGACGCTGATGAAGTTGGTACTGACCAATCCGCGGTCATTCTTCGACGAGGTATTCGGGGTTACTATTTGGGCGTGGCGTGAGTGTTTCTGGTTCATGTCACGTGCTTGTGTGAGCACTTAATTCCCTTATTATTAATAGTTGTCAATAGTTCGAGAAGGTATCGGTATCGGGTGCATTTACCAATGTGCCAATCGCTGGTCAATCGTCTCGTAGTATCCCATGCCGTTCGGCTTATTTGTTCGATCTGATGCCCCCTCCTAATCCATACAATCGCAAACAACCTCATAACTCAGGAGGGTGGCTGGGCCATTCTGGAAATGGACGCAGACGGCGAAGACTCCGAAGAGGTGTCCGATGACGACGGAGATGCGGTATGCCCAACTCTGTGACCACCCGCCTGTGTAGCATGTGTGATTTGTGTAGCGTGAGCGTGTGACTCATGTATTAACCGTCTTAGTACCCAACGCACGGCTCATAAGTTTTCGACTACAATGACATTACAGCCTGGTGTTTCATCTGGTATCGGGAGTCTGGACTCGTTGGCATATCTGCATTCATACTCTCCGTTGGGTCTCTCATGTCCCCACACGGTATCAAGGGTCGGTTACGGTCCACCATGACCTTGCCAATTCTGTCTGCGCTTCATGTCGCCTTAGTAGCGATGGTGGTGTTGGATAATCTGTGCCTGGTGTTGTGTGCATATCTCCGCATAGCAACGGGTGTTATGACAAATTATGGTGTCCACTGACTCATCTGTGATACGCATACTAACTATGCAATATTCTTCGTTATATACTACGACTCATACCAACTCACGTGCTATCCTCACATCTGTGTACATACTCTTAAGACTTGCGTAGGCCCGAACTCGCCACTCGGGTGTGTTTGCGTAGCACAAAGTGAGCTTATTGTGGCTGTGGTCAAGCTTATGCACATACTCTGATTTGCACTAAATAATCTAGTATTGACTACTGAATTGGCTGGCGCTATCCGCATTGTAATCCGATATTCATTTTGCGATGCAGGCGTTCGAGCCAAGCGACAACGATTTGGACGAGGAAGAGAGTGACGACTATTCTGAGGATAGCGAAGGCAGCAGTGAGGACTATAGGTATGAAACATACGTGAGCGTTAGCTCAGCATTTCTTGGCTCTGAATAGCCTCTGTTAGATACAGTTTGTTCCCAATTGTTCAGTCTTAGTAGTTGAGCTGCGAAGCTACGGTGGCTATCTAGTTTTCCACGATAGAGATGGAAGTATCTGTTATCGTATGCATTCTGGAAATAAAGGCGAGGTGAGCTGATGGGGAATTTTTCATCACTGTAGCGGAGGTGAGGAGGAGGACTCTGAGGAGGGCTTGGATTGGGATGAATTGGAAGAGCAAGCACGACGAGAAGATCGACGAAAGGCATGGGACCCGATTCTATCGTTCAATGAAACGAATCCTGGTGCTTTTGATATGTAGTTGTGCATTATTACATCCAATCCCAAAATATGTAATCACTGATATACATTGATCTCTCCTATCTGAACAGGACAATCCTGATGAGGACTCGGATAACGATCGAAAGCGTCGTCGAAAATCGGGTGGGGGCGGCGCCTCAAGCAAAAAACAAAGGCGCAGATAGATATCACATATGCAAAGTGCCATTCTTCACAATCGCCGGTTATATTGCGCCTGATTGGGAGTTAGTAGCCAACGAACTGCGCATTGCTGGTTGTTGCTTGTACGATTGTAGTAAGAAGGGTCTTGGAATATTCACTGATGGGTGTACTAGTTTACACTCACACTATATGGGTAGCTCTCGGAAATTCGTATATAAACCGGCAGGTAAAATGAGTACGATTGTTGCTGATGGTAGCTGTTCGAAACCTAAGTTGCCGAACGCCAACGCTTCACGTTTTGGCTCTTCCCGTGTCGTACACACCACAACGAAGGAAACTCGCAATTGCGATCCTTTTTACTAGTCGACGAGGGACATTTGCACAACTTTGATATCCACTATCGACAGCTATAGGGTCGTACGCGAGCGTCAAAATATGTAAAATCTCCGATGGGATTTGAATTTGAACTTTTCGATGCAACGTGCATGGTATCCCAATTGTATGAAAAATAAAGTCAGCAATAAGATGTCAATGGTAATATATACAAGCAGTATCAAAAGTAAAATTATTTTAATTAGATTTAACATTATTAACGATCAAGTCAAGATTTCAGTCTTCAGACCACATAAACGCACCCTGTAGCACACTCAAACTTATAAACAGCGCCTGTCTTTAAACGGCCTCAATCTCGTCCAAAGCTCCAGTGGCAACGGCTAGAGCGTCACTCGATTCAGACATGTGAGTAGCGTCCGTGGCAATTTCAGAAGCAAGCTCTGCTGCTTCCTCAGCTGAACTCACCGCCTCACTCGCCAAAGCCAGTGCTGCACTGGTATTACCGTCCGCCAGGGCTTCTGACGCAGCGTCGGCAGCCGAGGCGGCTTCTGAGGCTAGAGCCTCGGCCTCATCGATCAATTCTACTTCATCGGTGGCTGCAGGTGCGCTGGCATCGTCGCTTGCAGCCGGTGCACTCTCTTCTGCGGCTGGCGCAGTCAGCTCTTGAACAGGTGGTACACTTGATTCCGCGGCCGGTGCAGACTCATCACCACCTACAGCGTCTGTGATAGCTTCGAAATCACTCACTGCAACAGATGCGTCGTCCACTGCTTCGGTGGCTGCATCGGCAACACTCTCTGCCTCTTCTGCAGCTTCGGTGGCTTCGGCTGTTGCCTCAGCCAATTCCTCGCTGGCTTCTTGTACGTCTTCTGCGGCCTCACTGGCATCTTCGGCTGCCTCACCCGCATTGTCAAGGGCTTCAGTGGCTGCAGCAGTCGCTTCATCGGCTTCGATTGAAGCTTCCTCTACAATGTCACGTACACCATCATCATCCTCGTCTGCGGTCGCAGCCTCACTGTCCGCAGGCGCACTTTCCTCCGCAGGTTCTTCTTCGGCTGGTGC